TACCACTATGGCACTATGCTATGAGAATCTGAGTGAACAAAATGTTGAGTCGGAAAAGCAGTGAAAAATTGCCCTAGTCTAATAAAAACTGAAATGACGCAACTGATTATGAGTAGAAAAAGACGTGTACAACAGATCGTTCAAGTTTAAAATAAATGATTATTTTCAAGTAAATACCTTGACACTGTCTATTTATGAATGAGTAGGTACCTATTTTAGAAGTTATGAATACACACGCACGTGTAGGGACTGTGTACTTCTCTATACGTTAAGCTAAAAATAAATTATAATTTCTGGACATTTATTTTTATCGTGTTTAAAATATCAAAACTAATTTTAATCTCCATGATATACAGGGTGTCCCGTGAGGATTTACCTATTAGCCGTAGAGGGGGACTCGCCGCCCGGAAAAAACCGGTTTTTTGCCGTTTTACTTATTAATTAAAAAAATTATTAAAAATCAGGAAATTAATGAAATTAAAATGTTGAAACGTCAATATTTTCAGAAAAATGAACTCTACAAAATGGCAATCTTCAATATTTTTTTAAATAATTAATTAAAAAAATAATTTTTATAACTTTTTTACCAAAACATAAAAAAAAAATAAAAAATTAGTTATTTGTAGTGCTTACCTCTGTGAGTCTTAATAAGAAAACAAAATTACGATATCTCTATTATTTCAGGAGATATCGCAATGAGTAAATCCTCACGGGACACCCTGTATATTTTGTATTATGAATTATTTAAAAAAAAAACAAATAATTGTAAAATGTTAGAATTTTTGTGTGAGACCGTCATTTATATTTAATATTATAAATATCAACCTATACTTAGCAGCAGTTAAAACTAATTATTTATTTATTTTAAAAAACAAATTACAAGTATAATATTTAAGTATTGGTAGATGATATTCTGGAAACTTGATAATTTTGCCACGAGACTGTTCCTTCTTGAATAAAAAATTGTTTAAATTTTTCCCTCACATCAAAACCATCTGCACTCGCAAAGCCACCTCTACTATATAAAGTGCCCATCTCAGTAGTCTGTCCTTCGTCATATTCATAAAAAATTTTATTACCTTTTTCCAAAAACGCATCTTTCAACATATTGTGCAAACAACATGCGACAGTTACTAGATCGTCACATACTTCTACATCAATTCCTATTGCAGTATGAAATATTCTAAAAACTTGTGCTAATAAGCCAAATGCATTTTCCGTCACTCTACGACAACGACTCAACCTGTAATTAAAAATAGTTTTTGCTCTGTCTTGTTTAGCTATAGATCTAGAATATGGTTTCATGATATGCTTGTGAAGTCTGAATGCTTCATCGCCAACAATAACAAATGGTGTAGCGTGTAGAATTATTAGTGCCTGGTAGTTTTTCGTCGCCTGGAAAATTAAAATCTCCAGAATAAATTTGCTGTCCCATTTTTGATTTTCCAAATATGCCACTATCTCCTTCTTTGCCATAGGATCCAACATCAATGACTAAAAATTTACAATTCGCATCTACTAGTGCTAATAAGACGAGGGAAAAATGTTCTTTGTAGTTAAAGTATAATGAACCGGTATTTTTTGCGCACTTCATTCGAATATGTTTACCGTCGATTGCGCCAATACAATTTGGGAAATTCCATCTTGTCCAAAACTCTTGGGCTTTATCTTTCATATTTAATTTACTCGGATTAGGTATACAAAGTGGTAACAGATGCTTTTTCATAGATTTTAAGGTATTTTGTATTATAATACTAATATAGCTGTGTGATATACGGAAAGCAAAAGATAAAGAACGGTACGTTTCTCCAGAAGCTAAAAATCTGAAAAAAAATATATTATATACATGTCATTATTATTTAATAAATAAATATATTTCATTTTTTATTTATTTGAATCAAAATATACTGTTATTACAATAGGTAGGTACTAATAACTAAATAACCGACAACAATGTATGTTATAAATATTTTATTTGTTAACGGTTACGAAATGTAATTTTTTTTAATCTGCTTACCAATTATACAGATGCGTTCTATGTTTAACCTTAAAACAAATTTAAGTTTCATTTCTAGCCGTATTTCTGGACTTTTGGAGTTCTTTGTGTACCGCGCATCCTCTGTAGTTTGCTGGGTGGTCTTTTCCACATAGAGCGCAAGTAGCAGGGGTGTCCTTTGATTTTTCGCACATGTCGGAGACATGAGCTTGACCACAACGGACACATCTAGGTGTACGATTGCAGTAAGTACGCGTATGCCCGTAGTTTTGGCATCTGTGGCATTGAGGTAGGTCGCGCCTGGAGTGAGGCTCTTCAATCTTGACTATTGAGTGGCATAGCGTCTTAAGCTTGAATATTTCTGGGTTGTTTGGCGCTGGGTTCAGGTCGATGTAAAAAAGTGGTAGTGGATCATTTGACTGTCTCTTTTTTATGTTTGTGACATTTCTTACAGAGAAACCGAGCTCAGTTAATTCTTGAGAGATGTAGTCTGTGGGTATTGAGTGGTGGAGGTTTTTTAAGACAACACGATAAGGCTTGTCTTCTTTAGCTTGATATGTGTGATATTCGATGGAGCTGTCATTTAGTAATTTGATTGTTTGGCGAAAAGAGTTGGACGAATATAAAGATAGTTTGAGATTTTTAGATGTGGATTTGCATACGAACCCTTCATCGCCAGAAATAGATTTTATTTGCTTACAGAACTCAGTGTAATCTATTGTTGATGTGATAAAGATTGGCGGTGGTGGAGGTAGTTGGGGAGCGGATTCGGTGTTCATTTCGATGGGTTCGCTGGATTCGGCATCATCTTTTAGAACTTCGTAACGGTTTGGCGTAAAGAAAGATGCACTTGTTTTGTTCCCTTTTGGGTGGGGAGACGTACCCGGAGAGGGGACCATTGAATTGGCTCCCAATATTAGGTAAAGTACCTCATCGAACATTGAATTGGCTCCCCAGAAAAGGATTATTGAATTGGCTCCCAATATAATTTTCAACAAGTGGTTCTCATAATATAAAAGTTGGAAAAGTACGCGACTTTAATATTTTAACACAGGGCCGGATATACTGTTTGCAATTATCTAATCGTTTATCCGATAACGCATTATAAATGGTCATAATCATATCATATATCATTAGTTCGTCGCAATCCGTCGCAATAATCGCAGTTCGTCTCAATCACTCGCAGTTCATTGCAATTTGTCAAATTTCGTACCTACATATATTCAATATAAAATGAATTCGGTTGAAAAAATGTTTAGTGAAAAGGGAGAATTAATTTTTATAATAAATAAGTTTAAATTTAGCTATCATAAGCTTCTCCAAAATGAATTTAAACGATTCAAATGTACTAAACGAGGATGCACAGCTTATTTAAGAATTTGTAAAAACGAAAATGTTGTATGGGAATCGTCCAATATTAATCATAGCCACAATCCAGATGAAGAAAACAAACTTGAACGCCAAATTATTAGTAACGGACTGAAAAGAAAAGCCATCGAAAGTATATGTGAACGCCCTTCTAAATTGTTTCATTCGTACTTAAGGGAAAATTCAACAAATTCAATTACAACGCAAGATGTTAAATACATAAAACATAATATGCTTCAAGCTCGAGCTTCAGTACGTCCAAAATTACCCAAAAATAGACAAGAAGTGCATGATATTTTACAAACCATGGATATAAAAACATATGACGGTAAACAATTTTTACAAACGAATGATGCGGAAAAAGGAGTGTTATTCTTTAGCACAGAAGGAAATTTAAAATTTTTAAGTAAGTTGACTACAATATATGTTGATGGTACTTTCTCGTGTTGTACAAAATTTTTCTACCAGTTTTTCACAGTCCACGTAATAAAAAATAATCACTATATACCTTTGGTTTTTACTTTACTAAAAGATAAAAATCATGAATCGTACATAAACATTTTTAAAATTATCAATAATTATTGTTTAAATTATAATAATCAATTCGAAATAAAAAAAATTTATGTTGATTTTGAAGTTGCTATACATAACGCAATAAATGAAGTTTGGCCGTTGAGTGAAATTCGTGGTTGTCGGTTTCACCTAGGGCAATCATGGTACAGAACAATCCAAAAACTGGGCCTTTCTACAGAATATGAAAAAAAAACAGAAATTGGTGAATATCTGACGTATATATTTGGTTTACCATTTCTAGATCCGCAATCAGTCGGTGATTGCTTTTCATTCGAACTAGCTGAGATACAACCAAATAATGAAAAAATTATAAAATTTATGGACTACTTAGTTGAAAATTATATTGAAAATAATTCTTTATTTCCACCTCACATTTGGGCAGAAAAAAGCAGTAGTGTCTGTCGTACAACTAATTCATGTGAATCTTTTCACTCTAAATTTAATTCCCAATTTAGTTCTCCGCACCCAAATATATACAGTTTCTTGGATGTATTGTATGGTATTCAAGCGGATACTGAAATTATAATAAGAAGCTCCAATGTAGAAAGACCACACAAAAAAAAAATTCAAGAAAAAATACAATTTATAGACAGTCAAATTCAGAAATATGACAATGGTATAGTATCAAGATTTGAATATATAAAAATTCTTGCAAACAAATTTAAGCCTACTAAATAATATTAAAACAGTGCAGGTCAGTGAATATTTGTATATTAAATTATAGTACATAAATACCTATTGTATACCTAATATTGTATATTTTTATTAAATTATTTTTTATTAATTTTATTTTTTATTATTATTTTAATTTATTTTCAAACAATTTTTATTGACTATTAAATGTAATATTTGTATTTTAAATTAATTTTATGTATAGTTTAGTTTATTTTCGAACAATTTTGATTGACTATTAAATGTAATATTTGTATTTTAAATTAGTTTTATGTATAGTTTAATTTATTTTCCAACAATTTTTATAACCAATGAATTTATAAAATATATGTCGAGGGAGCCAACTCAATGCATAAATCTTGGGAGCCAATTCAATACATAAAAATATCGTTTACCTATGTTCGGGAGCCAAATCAATAGCTCCGCCCGGAGAAGACGGATGTTTGGTTTGTACGGTCCAACCGGATCCGTTATTGTTTGAATTTTTGGAGGAAGACGTTTTGACGATTTTGATAGAAGGCAATGAGACTTTTGAACCACCCTGTATAGTTGTGCGGTCGTTGGATGATTTATTTTTAATTAGTTGATTAGGCGGCATTGTGCCGCTATCGGTTATCTACTGTCCAAAGGTCACCGGATGAGCGGTGCCTCGAGGCGGTAGTTAATTAATCGATAATAGTAATTAATTTCTTACTTTTTTTTAGACTTGACACGGTTGAGGTTACTGTAAAAAACGATAACCATACGTAGGCGAGAACTTAGTTTTTTTTATTTATTTAAAACTGCAAATTAGAACAAAATCCATTGAGTTTGGAGAAAGTTGTCGACGAATAACTCGGGAGCGAAGTAAAACACGTGTGTTTGGTAACGATACCCGTGCGAGACTTATTGATATTTATAGAAAAAAAAAACTAAAAAAATTAAAAACTGATAATGTCCGTACACAGCTCAAAAAGAGTCTAATTATTTTCAACATTTTATCGTGTTTAGAAAATGCTAATATAAATATTCAGTGAAATTTTCCAAGTATCTACATAGTCATTCGTTTTTTAATTACAACAAAATAAGAAAATCTTTACATGAGAAATCAACCCATATCACCAGAAGAAAAATTGGCTTTTACATTGAGGTAAGTACAATTTTTAAATTAGATACAGATAAATTAAAATTAAATAAGAACTCATATTTATTTATGGAATACTGTTGTTTTATTTTAATATACAATTTGTATCAAAGTTAAAAATAAATCAATTTTCTATCGGTACAAAATTAAAGGTACTTTATCATATTATATTTCATTGACTTATGAAAAATTAATTTAAAAAAAAATCAAAATACCTTATAAGATAATATTTTAAATTTACTGAGAATTTGTGTTCCATTCATTACTCATATTTTGAACTGACTGCAGGAAATGCGTAAATGTCGTTGTATTTGTTGGTCCGAACTGTTGTTGGATACTCGAATATGATGGTGAATCTAGTGAAGGTGGACTATAACTATATGGAGTAAAGTTGTTAGAGTATGGTGAGCTACTAGTAGAATTATTTGACTGTAATGATACTCTGCTACTGCAGTTAGGTATGATGTGGACGTTATGTGTATAATTATCAGCTAGGCAAGGATGTTGTTGCATTTGCATTTGCATTTTTTTCTGTTTCAATTTATTGTTAAGTAAGTTTTAAATGTGTTGAATGTAAATACGAATTAAAATCTAAAACTCTTAGGTGCAATTCTATGCAATTTTTGGATTTTAGATTCTGAGTGAAACGATGAATGTATTGATTTTAAAATGATGTGTGTTTTTTTTATTTATTTATTTTTTTTTGTATCTGTGTACACGATAAGTAGTCGAAATAATGCTTCGATTTTCGACTTCAGTATCTTGTTCGATGTGAATATCGTTGGTGCATTGGGGAGGTCAAAATTTAAATTTCGCAATAGTTTTCAAAAGCACCGGGAAAAACCACATGAAAATTAAGAAAAAACGGGAATTTTTACGCAAGATTGGTTTTTAACTCTAAAACAAATGAACGTATATACATGAAATTTTCACTGATCGTTTATATTCGCATTTTCTATACACGATAAAATTTTTCAAATATTTTGACTCTTTTTAGACTGTCAATTTTTTTAGTTTTTTTTTTTTTTAAATATCAATAAAATGTTATTTATTGGTTAAAAAACCTTGAAAATTTAATACAAGGCTCTTAGTATTTTGTTTCAATGGTAGTTAAAAAAAATTAAAAATCCCTAGTCACAATTTTTTTTATAAGCGTTTAAAGTTCAAATCTTGACAAAATACGGAAAAATCACGAAAATTAGCAAATTATTTTGAGTTGAAAATTCGTAAAAATTTTTCTTTTGAAATCTAAGGTTTGAAAATGTAATAATCTAACCTAACCTAACCTAATACAAGATTATTCATAAGTTTGTTTACCTTTATCAAAAAAAAAAAAAGTCTACTAGAAAGTCAAATTGAATTTTTATGAGCGTTTGAAATTCATATTTTTACAACATTTGATATTCACTTCCAACATGACGCGAATGCGATCTTAATTCGTAGTTCGCGATCGCGATCGCACAAGGAAAACGGTACCTTTACACAACTTTTCAGCCCCAAGACAGGCACAAAGCTGGGGCGGGAGTGATATGGCGATTAAAAAAAAATTATTTTAATTAGTTAATTTCATGATGTAGATACTTAATACGGTGTAGAAATTCTGTTATCACCAACACATTGAGCATAATAATACTAACATTTCCAAAATAAAATATTCCAAAAAAATCGCTTGGGAAGTAAGCTACATTCGTATAACGCTACACAGAATTATTTAAATAACCGGCTTTCTTACCACTCCTAAATTCAGGGACTGGAACCTTTTTGATTTTATCGGTTTGGGTTTAGGTTTTGGTTCTCAAAAACCCAAAATTTCGGTTTCGGTTCTGGTTTCGGCTTTTAAAAATATCAAATTTCGGTTTCGGTTAATACCGGTTTTAACCCTTATTCTTTGACTTTTTTTTTATTTATTTATTTTTATCAATAAAGTACTATGTAGAAAAATGAATATATTGATAACTAAATAATCTCTACTTAGTGACAGGTATTTGTAATTAAGTGTCACTATTTCACAATTTAGGTAATATTATAAAAAAATAATAAATGAAAATAAATAGATAAATTTTAATATTTAAAATAAAAATAGAAATAAGAATGCATTTTTGACACACTTGGGTGACTCATGTTTTAGTTTGATATAAAAATGTATAAGTGTATAACTTATATATAAAAATATAAATTTAAGCAATATATAACGCGGTAACGAAGACTGAAGAACAGTTCAGTAGTAGGCACAGTCGAATTGTCGTACAAAGAGTATAGAGTGTCCAAATTGCTATTATTTTCAGAAATTCTACATCAGCTACCTGTTGCGAATTGTGATTTGCGATTCAATAATAATATTGATATCGATTACACGGAAATTAGAACTTTTGGTATTACTTATATGACAATTCTGTTGTACACATAATAATTTTCTTATTTCTTAGCATTGATTAACTTTTATAGGTCTACGATTTTAGAATTATTTATTATTACTAATAATTAGTTATTACCTACTTACAAGGTTACACCATAGATAAAATATCTATTGGATTTTGGAACCGAAAAAACCTCTACATCAAAATATAGGTTTCGGTTCTTAAAAAAATGTATTTAAGGGTTCCGGTCCAGTTTCGGTCCAAAACCGGTCAATTTTGGTACGGTTCCAGTCCCTGCTCCTAATAGCCAATGTCCGCATTAAATGCCGTAAAATAAAGATTAGATACAATATACATATACAATATGTACATCTACATCGGGAAATTAGCTAATTAAAAAAAAAATAGAAATTAAATTTTCATTGTAGGTGCTTTATATATCACTGAAAAATATTCCTACTCTCCACTCCCTTAAACAAGCTTCAGATCCCCCCTGGCGGCCTGGCCTATAGGTTCTGCACTACCGTGTAATTAATGCGTATACAGTAGGTATCTATATACATATATAAATATGTTGAATAGGAGTGCCAAAAATGATCACTGCAGTGAGTGAGTACCTACTTAAATCTTCAGATGACGTGTTTTTTGAGTCATTATTTACGAGTATATCACAGTATTACACGCCACCGTGTTTTAGAATTTGTATCGCTAAGTAGAAACCACTAAGGCCTAATTTTATTTTTTAGCAAATCATTATAACCATGACCGACAGAATATTTATTATTATACACTCTGCAAGCTCCCCGTCGTATAATATAATATACCCCAAGCACGGAGCACCTATTATACCTATCAAGTACCAACTAAATATTATATTATAGTCCTATGTATAAGACTTATATTATAGTGACGTTAGTCGAAGTGCTTGCGGCTCTTATGGGTGGCATCCTAGCATAATATGTATATTGTATGTATACATGTAGGTACCTATAGCCAATTTACAGGAGGAGTGAAAATCACAGTACAATTATCTATGTATGTAACCATGTATGACGTTATAATATGTAGTTTATGATACATCACGGGGTCCGGGGTCCTGCGGGTAAAAAGTTTACTCGAAGAACCGTCGCTGACGTTCATGACTACTTATGCTACTTATAGACATACGAGTACCTACGTCGAATAATATTATGTATAGTATACATTGTAGGTATACATAAATACATTACACACCGTGTGAACGAGTTGAATTGCCCGACAATATCTATATTCTAAATATATATAGGTACATTATAATAGGAATGTTTCCGGACTTCCTGTTAATCCGAATTTTAGTTCCCGTATTATATTATAGGTACAAGGTACCTAGTACCTACGTATAATAATGTAGTATATAAACCACCGCTCCATAAATTTACACATAATATACTGTATTACTGTTGCAACAATATATATTATATTCTATACAGTATACACTCATATAATAATATAATATAATATATAATATATAATATATTATATTCTATACTTACACACTATTACACTAACACACACTGTGTATACGTGCACTATACCGTGGTAATGTAGGTACTTGTGTAATGTGTATAATTATAGTATAATAGTTACCGACTACCGTACAGCTGGAAATTAATTATTTAAATTGTAAGTAGATTTAGTGTAATGCATTTATTACCTATATTTTGTTATTTATTATTTTAATGTGGAGGTAATAATAATATTTAAATCATTGATTCTAAGTAGTAAGTGGAGTGTATTTGGTTTTATTGTTGTACAATGTGTTTGTAATTTGTATGTGTTTTTTTTGTGTTTAGCAATTTTTTCTAGAGTTTTAGAATTCAATACTGATGGTGGTTTCTGCTTGAAAATTGAATCTAGTTGATACTTTGGTAGGTGGTAAATCCAAAGGTAGTAAAAAAAATAATTACTTAAGTATAGGAATATTTACATAACACAAATTTTCAACAATACCTATTTTATTTTTTGTTGTTATTTTAAAAGGAATATAATAATGACTTTAAACTTTCAACAAATATTTATAATATTATCATTTACTATTGACACGCGGTATAATATTATAAAAATATTATGAGCTATCGCTATTTATACACATTTTCAATTTTCCATTTTTTTTTTTGTTATTTTGATTTATGTTGATAACACTTTTGTTTCTATGTACAAAGCTTGACCATAATATGGTGTATACAGTGTATCCTGCGACTATTTACTCATTTCGATATCTCCTGAGGTATAATATACCTATTACCTATATATCATAAATCTGTTTTTTTATTAGACTCACAGAGATAAGGACTACACATATTTTATTTTTAATTTAATTACATTTTTTTGGTAAAAAAGTAAAAAATAATTTTTTATTTTTGAAACAATTGAAGATGTCCATTTTAAAGAGTTTATTTTTTTGAAAATTTTAACTTTTCATCATTTTCTTTTCTTTAACCTAATTATTTTTAATATTTTTTTTAGTATAAAGGTAAAACGGCAAAAGCCTGGTTTTTGTCCGGGTGGTGAGTTCTCCTCTAATGTGTATATCCTCACGGGACACTGTATTATAGTACAATAATTATATATAACTATATTATAGTTTTCAGTATATCTATTGTGGTTTCTTATAAGTTGTTCTTACATTAGTTAAAAATACCAAAATAAATAGCACCAATTCATCTGATGAGTTTTTGACTTTTAAATTAATACCTTATAATAAATAATGAATTTACTTAGTAGGTAATTATTATTAAAAATTATAAAATAAAATTATTCTCCATTTTATACGACGAAAAATTACTATAAATAATGGACTATGTTTGCCCCAAAAATGTTGTTTATGTTTTTTTTGACCATTTTAGATTCATATTTAACTATTTATAAGTATACAAAAAGGTAGCTATAAGAAAAATCAAAAAAATTGTTTGCTCTTGTAATTAGGCATTTCAGTTAAAAGTATTAATGCATAGGTATAAACTTAACTTTAGAGGACCATAGTTAATAAAATAGTGACCCAAAATTGATAATTTGATTGTCAAAATATTCAGAAAAAAAGTATTACTTACCATTTACCAGAGTCCATCAAAAAATAAAGTTAATTTTATTGTTGGTACAACTGCGTGTTTAAAAATTTTGAAAATTTTG